TCCTCCTCCTCCTCCTCCACCTCCTCCTCCTTCTCCTTCTCCTTCTCCTTCTTCATTATGTTCCATTAGTCAAAATGAATGAGTCACTTGCCCATGATTTGACTAAGTGGCCAAGGTTAACACAACTTATTTACGTCAATCACCATTCATTCATAGAGGTTGGGTCTCCACCCTTCTAATATCAAAGAACCACTTCCTATCTATAAATATAAAAGCCTAAGTGACCATCCGACCATTTGACCATTCAACTGGTAGCTATGACACACACTGACCACCAGGGGGCAGATACTCAATGCACAAGCATGGAAATATGGAACAGACTGATGAATCTCAGAGGAAAGCGGGGAGTGGGGAAGGGGGAAAGCGATTAACCAGAGATCTTATATGCATACTAGAGGCTCAGTGCACAGATTCATGCACCGGTGGGGTCCCTCAGGGATTGGGCCAAAACCAGCAGTCCGACATCCCCCAAGGGGTCCCAGATTGTGAGAGGGCACAGGCCAGGCCGAGGGACCCCACTGGTGCACAAATCTGTGCACCGGGCCTCTAGTAGCTAAATAATTTGGGGTTTTAGCAGAAGGAAGGTGGGCTGTAGGGATGGTTGTTATATAAGCGAAGATCAATCTCTGCCACACTCACACACCCAACTGTCTGCTAAACATTTCCACATGTTTGGCACACCACATCTTTACACTCTTCTTTCTCTTGTTCCATATCCAACAATCACCAAAGCCTATTGATTTTCTCTTCTAAATATCCCTCAGCTCTGCCCTTTTCCCCTTCTCGTTCTCATTCTTTCTCTGCTATAGCCATCTCCAGCCTACCCTCCCCCTCCATTGCCAACAATCATTGAGGGGCCCTACAGAAACTCACATCTGACCTCAACACTTCACTGCTTAAGTTCTCCACTAGCTGTCCACTGGCTACAGAATAAGCTCCTGTGTGTGAAATCTAGAGCCCTTCATGATGGGACTTCTGCCTTTCACCCACTAACCACACACACACACACACACACACACACACTAGGCCTGTATGCTCTCTGCCCAGAACACACTTTCCCTTCCTTCTCATCTGTCCAGCCTGAAAACTCCATCCAGTCTTCGAAGTCACCCTTGCCTGCCTCCTCCGTGCCTCAGTGGACCCTGGGAGCAGCTTCATGGGGAGGCGTAGTTTTATCCAAATCTCCCTCCCTTTAGAGAACAAAAATCTATATTAAAATCAGTTAAATACCGACCTAACCATTTGCCACAGCCATTCGGTGCAATGAAGAAGCCCCCAGAATCGATTAGCCTATGGACCTCTCATGTTGCATTTGACCTCACATTTTCGTGACTAGGAATCTCCCGAACTACAAGGGCTGAGAGGTGTTTCAGGAGCTGAAAGGCAGCTGAGAGTGGGAGGTGTGGGGCAGAGGGGGCGGCGCTGGCAGGACCCTCACCCCTGCCCCACGTGTGCCTCAGCTCAGGGTCACCTGTCAGGTGAGGCTGGCCCGCTGCCCCTCACGTGGACTCTAACGCGTCCATCTGCTCACAGGCCTGGGAAGAGGGCAAGACGCCCGCAGGCTCTCGGTGCTGTCAGCTGTGGAATGTGACTCTCCCAGGTGCGCCTTCTCCAATGGAGCGGCGGAAACACCACGGTCTCAGTGACTGACCCCCTTTTTCCTCAGCCCGGCTCTCCTGGTCTGCGGTCCCTGCAGTGTGCTCTCCTCCCACGCATTCCCCCATCAAAAAGTTTCTGTTTTCTTCCTTGAATTCTTTGTCCTGCTCTTTTGTTTTCCCCTCTTACTTTCCAAGCATCCTTCCTCTAATGAGGTCAGTGACAGCCATCTAGCCACAGGTGACTTACAGAGTGTTGGCTTAATTTGAGGACATGGAATTCAAACATCCAGAAATCACAGGGTCTTTGGGGGCAGGGGGGGACAAATACTGAATGAGTTTAGCAAAGGAATGGAAGAGGAAAAGGCATTCTTGAGTGCTGACTATGCAGTAGTCACAGTGCTGGTTGCTTTCACATATAAGTACACTGTCTCACCTAGTCCCCACACATCTCTGCAGAACAGGCAGCTCGGGACTATGATCCCATTTCACAGGTGGGGAAACTGAGGTGTAAAGAGATCAAGAGACTACCCAGGGTTACATAACTTGTCAGGGCCAAAGTCAGAGTTTAAATCCCAGTCTTCTAAAGCCAGTGTCCGGGTTCTGTCCACCAAACATGCTATAATTCTAGACCCTTCGATTTCTTAATTATGAAACTTCAACTTTCCCTCTTGAACCAAGAAGGAAATGGGGGCCCCAGGAGGCTTGGGGACTCGCCATGGTGTGTGCCAATGGGCTGCACCCTTTGCTTCACTAACAACAACTTGATGTTTTTCGTTGTCGGTGTGTAAGTGTGTTCCTGAAGGTTTCTCAGCCTGTGAGGGCACAGGCATCACACACCCTCCCTAAGTCTCAGTGTCCTCTACTGTAAAATGGAGACAATAATAGTATCTACCACATAGGGATTGATGAGACGCACTTATAGTTCAGTATATGACTCATAATAAACACTAAGTCATTATTACCTATTAGAATTACTGATGTCGCTGAAGCTGTTATAACTGATGCTGTTGTCATTATAATTGGTGCTCAAGTCAAAATCCAATATCGCTATGCTGCACTCACGTATTCAACACCTAGTACTGAGTGCCTGACGCTGTGCCAGGAAATGTTCTGTGTGTAAGAGGTACAGGAGTGACTCACAGGAGGCTCCAAAAAATCCAAACCAGAACATGAGATGGAGTGACTTCGGTTTGGGCTGGGGAGGGCTGCCTGGGCTGGGGGCTCAGGGAAAGCATGTCCAAGAAGTACATTTGAGCTGAGCCCTGAAGGATGAGACCGAGTCAGTCAACCAAAGGTGTAGGGAAGGGCAGGCCAGGCAGAGGGAACAGCCAATGCAAGACCCTGAGGCAGGAATGAGCTCAGCATGTGAAATATGCTTCCCTGGTTCCAGAAACTTCCGTACACGGAGTCACAAGAAGGAATATTTATAGCCCTCACAAGTACAGACACGCTGGAGCCAAGACCGCCTGGTTTCAAGTCCAGACTGTGACCTTGGGAAAGTCACCCAACCTCGCCAGGCCGCCGTGTTTTTATTCGCAAAGCGGGGAAAACAAAAGTGAATATCAATTCAGTTGGACGTGAAGACTCTTAGCACAGACCTTGGCCCATAGTAAGCATTCAATGAGCGAAAGTTGTTGATGGCATTACGAGTCCTTCATTAACACACGCACCACATGTTAACAGTTCCCGAAGATACCAAGCAGTCCGTGGGTGCTGCCTGTTGCTGCTGGTGCCTCACACCTACTGGGTTTTCAGTGCTGTTTACCCTGAATGAAGGGTCGCTTTGGGGTTCCTCACGGTACCCTTCTCTCCAGATCAAGCGTAGAGGAAGGATTCGGCAGATCGTTCTAGCATTTCATTCAGAAGTGCATCCGTATCATCTCCATGGTCACGCTGACTGTTGTTTATCAACATGCCTGCCTTACTGAATGAAAGCGATGCTTTAAAAGGAAAGCCAGAATTATAAAATTCAGGGCCTTCTTTTCGCAACTGGTCACCTTTTTTTTTTTTTTTTTGGCCACATGATTTAACTACTGTTTCCTCAGTGCTGACATGCAAAGCGTGGTGCATAATTTCTCTATTTCCTTCGCCGCCTCCTGGAGACGCTCATTCCCGCTAGGAGGTGAGATGCCGGAGGGAGAAGGTCAGTTCCGACTCGGCCGCCGTGGAGCTTGGGCTGGTTTCAACGGCTTCCCATCAGTGCTTTTCCGGCTTCTGTTATTACTACCTATGGGCCACTGACCCCGGAGAGACCATAATTCATGGCTGACATGATTTTGTTCCCATGTCATCAGAAAGGGCAAGTTCCCCCCAAAACAGTCAAGAACTTGGTTTTATGAGTCCAAACCAAGAGAGTTCCTGGCAGGGCCCACGGCGATGCCGGCTCCTGGAGCAGGAGTCCCTGGTGGTGATCCTCAGCCGGGGGCACCTTCCCCAGGGGGGAGCCACCAGGCCCAGGCACCGGCCTCCGGGTCCGATGGCTCGGCCCTTCGTAGGGGCAACTGATTTTACAGATTTTCTATTTAGGACATCCAGACAGGTTGCCATGGAAAAATGACATCTTCTAATTAAAACCAGAGAGGTCACAAGTTTCCCAGAACAACTAGGGCACGGATCCTAAAAGGAACGAAATCAAACAGTTGGAAAAAAAAAGGCAAACAAACCTCCAGAGCCACGTCAGCCTGGAACTTTCCGAACCTGAACGCAAAGCCGTGTGTGGGCAGGGCATGCCCAGAGGAGAGGGTACGCTCGCCCCAGCGGGTGTTGCTCGCGGCTGGCAGCGGCTCAGATGGGCAGTCGGGCAGCAGATGGGGGATGCTGAGAGAACCCTGACCTGGGACACTGTCTAGGGCTGAACTTTACACGATGGGCATGTCCACCGGCCCCCTCAGGGCGGGGAGGCACAGGGCCAGGAAGGGCGGAGGAGTCAGGAGGCTGCTCGTTCAGAGGACCCTCCTCCCCCCTGTCAGTTTCTCTTCTCGTCGTGGCCTTTGTACATGTGCTGCCAACAGCGCCTGTCCCAAGTGTTGCGTTCGCGTTGTCGCCACCCTGGCCTGTAGGCTTCTCCAGGACAGGCGTGATGCCATGTTCATCCCCGCGTTGCCAGGGCCTAACATGCTTGGCACATGGAACATGCGCAATCAATCCCTGTTGAGTGATTATTAATATTAATGATCATCATAGCTGCCAGTTACCGAGTGCACTGAGCAGTGGGATCCTGTTCATCTTCTTTCACAGTAAAGCGCCTGCAGCTCAGGGAGGCCAAGTAACACACCAGTCCACGCTTCCAACCCGTCACAGAGCCGGGTTTAACCCCGGCACTGACTCCACCGCGCAGGGCTCAGTGACCCCGCAGGGGGCTGACTTCCTCGCTCAGAGGTGAGTGGCCCAGCATGTGGTTTGAAGGGCCCTTTGCCCCGGCTCCTTCCCCTTCTCTGACCGCTGCTGGCGCCAGAGCAAGGGAAGGAATACCTGTCCTGCAGTCCGGCTGCTCGGCCAGGGCTGGTGTGGAGAGAAGCCCGCGATGGCCTCGGAACAGGATTCCCGGTTCCTGCCTCTCCTCTCTCTCTGTCCAGCCCTTGCCAGTGCTCCCTGCATGGGGAAGACGGGAAGCCAGTATCACTGGGGAGCTGGGTGTCCTTAGCTGGGATTGAATTTAGAAGGGAACCCCAAGTGGAAATCCATAGCAACGCATCGAATGGAGCAGGTCTCATTTAGCCAATACCGCCGCCCTGCACACATCCTGGACACCAGGTCCACGGACTTTTATGCAAATAGCACCCTTGAGCGCTGTGGAGAAATGGTTTTGATATAATTTTTTCAACTTTCAAGTGTATTTTGCACTATACATTGTGAGAGGTGGATAACAAGAACAGCCTTCAGTCATTTAAATTGGCCTTTTACACACGTTGCCTCATGATTATCCTGTGAGGAAGGTAATACTGTTAAGCCCCGTTAGAGATGGTGGAATGAAGGTCTGAGGGGTGAGTCACTGTCTCAGCCCTACTCAACGTATTGTCCACAGACAGGAAGCAGCAACATGGATCCACGCCCGAGTTGTTCTTTGCTAGAAACGGAAATGCTTGGGCCCGGTCTCAGACCTAGTGAATCAGGTGTTTGGGCCCCGGAATCTGAGTGCTCACAGCTCTGCAGGTGGTCCCAGTGTGTGGTCAAGTTCCAGAAGCACCACCCAAGGACACAGAGTAGGCAGTGCTCTCTCCCCCTCCCAGGATGCCACGCCCGTGGTACTGGACAAGGTACAAAACAAATGAAACACCTGAGTGCCAATCACAGGGCAGTTTTTATTTGTTTCATGTGGACACCATGGCCATAGAATATTATGTAAATAGCATCCCTATTTACATAAGATTGAGCTATCTGGACTAGGCGTTTCACCTCTGTGAGGTTCAGTCACTTATTCTATAAAATAGGATTCTGTGTACTTTACTTAACTTTCCTGGGCCGTTGTGAAAATCAAATGAATTAACCTATGGTAAAGTACCTTATAAACGGTTAAATCCCAAATACTATACTAGTAAACTTGTGTTCACTATTATTGTAATTCCAGTTATTATTATATAATTACTACATTTTAAACAGAGAAGAGCTAGAAACGAATAGGCAAACAGAGGTTTGAAATATCTACTAATTCCCAGCAGGTTCCCATTACGTAATCCTAGTCTGCAAATACAAAATTATTTCATGGGAAAGAAAACGAAGGCACATTGAGCGAACAATGCCAGCAATCATCGCGATAATTACTTGTGTGTGAGGAGGTGCCGCTCTGTCTCCCCACAGGGACCCGGCTGGACAGAGTGGACAGGGGATGGAGGTCAGACTCCATGCCTGCGTCTGCATCCAGGCCTGGACGGGTCATTTAATCTCAGACAGGTTGTTCACCTCTAAGAGCGTTGCTCCTGCCGTGTGAACTTCAAATCATAGCCATAACTCCACGGGAATAAGAATGCTTTATCTGATGGAAGGCTCAGATGAGAGGATGCCTCTGAAAATCCTCTGCAAACTGCAGTTCACTGGGCAGATGTGAATTGTTCGGGTTGCGCCATTGTTTATAGGAGGAGAGACTAAATGGCTCCGCCAGGAACCTGTGAGGCCTGGACGGAGGAAGGCTGGGAAGGGAGAAAGGCGAGGAAGGAAAGGGGCGTTTCCAGCTCCCTAGATTCTGGGCAGCAAAGGAGGGCCGCTCCTTTGATTATTGGAGAGGCTGAGGAAGCAGGTGCTGTTCCAGAGACACACACAAGTTCTGGGGGTCACACAGCCAGCCAGGGCCAGAGGACCAGGCCAGCGGAAGTGGGTGTGCCAGGCCCGAGTGTCCAGCTCAGGGCCCACCACAGGCCTGGCCCAATGGTTCAGAACGCTCATTCACTGCGACTTCCAGTTTAGACTTGCGATGCTATTTCCGCATGAGTAGGTACAGACACAGAGAGGCCGTCATCATTGCTACATAAATGTGCATCATCCTTAGGCGGGGCCATCTGTGGTGCCCTAGGAATGCCTTTCTCATCAATCCTTTGGTCATAGTGTGGATATCCCAACTATATTTTTAATAAAACTATCGACTCCTTCATTATAAAATGCTTCAAGTACAGCATACTGTTTATGCATCTGTTTGGGCCTGACTTCATTTTTCACTATATCAGGAGCCTCTGAGAAGTCCCAGCCAAGGTCAGATCTAGAAATCCAGCTCCTATGGGGCCGTAGCTGGAAACTCTGCCATACAGAGATAGATATGCGTGTGTGTTACCCGGATCTTCCTGTAATAACTCTTTGTGTTTGTGTATTACTTTAAAATTTACAGAGTGTTTTCACATACATCCTCTCGTTGCTCCACAACAATCTTATAAGCAAAGGAGGTATTTTTATGGTCATTGTTCTTATTATCTACTAGAGGCCTGGTGCACGAAAATTCATGCACTTGGCCAGGGCGGGGGAGAGGTCCCCTCAGCCTGGCCTGTGCCCTCTCACAGTCCGGGACCCCTTGGGGGATGTCCATCTGCTGGCTTAGGCCCACTCCCTGGGGCACCGGGCCTAAGCTGGTAGTCAGACATCCCTCTGGCATCCTGGGAAACCCTTGGGGGATGTCCAACTGATGGCTTAGAGGGGAGCGGGCCTAAGCCATTTGTCAGACATCCTTAGCACTGCCGCAGAGGCCGGAGAGGCTCCCGCCACTGCCGCTACACTGGCCAGCCATGAGCCGGCTTCTGGCTGAGCGGTGTTCCCCCTGTGGAAGCGTACTGACTACCAGGGGGCAGCAGACACTCCTGCGTTGAGTGTCTGCCCTCGGTGGTCAGTGTGCATCATAGCCACCAGTTGTTCCTGGTTGTTCTGCCGTTAGGGTCAATTTGCATATTACCCTTTTTTTATATATTATGGCTATGCAACAAACTACTCCAAATCACGTAGATTAAAACAAGAATAAAATTCATTTTTTTCATGAACATTCCATCAGCCTTCACAAGGGACAGCTCCGCTCTGCTCTGCCCTACTCAGCATGGCTATTGTGGCTCAAAGGCTGGGAACTGGAATCACCTGGGGCTCGGTGACTCGGCCATATGGCTGGGGCCCAGGCTGGGACAGCCAGGTCCTCCATCTCTCGATCTCATGCGGTCAGTGACTGATGGTAGGACAAGAAATGGAGCGTCTAAGATAGGCTGCTCACACAGTAGGTGTGCAGAAAACGAGAAATACTTGTTTTTGATGGACCTCCCTAGAAAAGAAACTTTGCAACGTTGTCATTATATCGTCATGAAAAGTCAAGGAGAAGACTTGTGGTGCGGTCAGATATTTGAAGGTCTGAGTGGTATTTGGTTGTAGGGGATGTTACCAAAATAGCTCATTCATTTTCTATTTTTAAATATGGACACTTCTCATGGGCTTAATGCAAAAAATGGAAGGGGTCACTGAGCTGATCACCTCAAATGCCCTATTAAGAACTTCTAGCCCTGCTGGCGTGGCTCAGTGGTTGACCGTTGATCTGTGAACCAGGAAGTCTTGGTTTGATTCCCAGTCAAGCCCAGGTTACAGGCTCCATCCCAGTGTGGAGTGTGCAGGAGGCAGCCGATGGATGATTCTCTGTCATCATTGATGTTTCTCTATCTCTCTCTCTCTTCCTCTCTGAAATCAATAAAAATATATCTAAAAAGAAAAAGAACTTCTAACTCCCCAAACACATCTTTGCAGAAATGGATCCTGCATAGATGCACATGCCTATGTCTGTGTGGGTTTTGTTTTCAAATTAGCTTGCTTTCCAACTCGAGCTGGGGCGTTTAGCCTCACGGTGGGTCACCCACCCACATGACCCCAAGATTTAGCCGCTAGGAATGAAGTGGCATAAAGTCAAGTGGCCTGGTAAAGAGCATAAAATGAGAAAGCTGCTCTCAGAACCCTAATCTCCCCCTCTGCTTTCTGAAAAGCCAGACGCGCTTTAATTGGGTTTATGTATCTCAAAGCCGATACAGTTGTACCAAACTCTGACAGGAAGCGCTGTAACGTAAAAGTCCACAAAGGACGCTTGTCTGGCTCAGCTTCTTAAGTGCCGTGACTAATCGGGAGGAGGGCTAGATGCATGCGAAGCCGTTGAGAATGCTGAGCTATACTTTTGCGAATGTGGAAAATGCCATTTATCTTCCCTTCATGAGAAGGAATCCTCTTTGAGGATCCGACACCCCAACTTTCTGACCGGAACACAGTGTTTCTAGGGATCCTTGAGGCTCTCCTGGTGAAAGTGGCTCTGAGAAAGATACATTCAGAGGCTTGTTGAATGGTGTGAACTATGCTGCTTTTTTTCCGTGTGAGTCTTTCAGATACACGGAGTTTAGGTTCTCAGTCAAGTTTGGCTGGTTCTAGAGGTGTGGTAATAATAGTAAGAGTTCACATGTAACACTTACTGTGTGCCAGATCCGGTTTTATATATATAACCTCAGTTAATCATGGGATTGACATTATGCAGTCGGTGCTATTATTATCCCAGTTTTGCAGATGAGCAAATTGAGGCCCAAGGTCACCCAGCTCATACAGTGTGGGGCTAAAATGTAAGGCAAGGCAGTTTGGCTACAAAATCCATGTTCCCCAATGACAGCGTCCCGGCACACTGGTGCATTTAGGGTGTGGACAGAGGGAAAAATGTGTGCAAAGGACCAGCTTCCTGTACCACCAGGTGGAGACACATTTGGAGGAGGGGCCGAGCCAGTGTGATAGACAGATCGTTGGTCCCAGACACGGTGAACTAGCATCCTAGGCCCAGCGGCCCAGGCTTGAACCTTCTGTGAGGAAGAAAGAAATCTCTGCCTTGACTCAGTCCCTGCCATCTTGGTCTTTGTTATAAGAATCAACCAGTCTTTTCCCGTTCCTCCCCAACCAAAGTAATTCCTCCCCCCAGTGGTGCTGCCCGCAGCTAAAGATGTCTTCCTTTGCATTAAGCATGGTTCTTCACTCTGAGGAAGAAAAACCTGGCCAAAAACAAAACAAAAAAGAGAAGAGAAACGTAGTAGATTATCATTTCACGTTAAAAGGTGTCCTTCCTTCAACGAAGTTGGATTCAGCGAGGGAACCTAAAGACATCAAGTAAGGGATCCACCCTTTCTTTGGAGAATGAAAGCTAAGCATGTAGTAATCTACACTTTCTGAACTTTTATGGGCCCTACGAAGAGAGTCTGGAAGTGCCTGGACAGCCTACTCCTGCCCAGGGTCTCTCCTGGTGGGGACAGAGGGACAGTGGCACTCCCAGACACCAGAGCTACCCGTTGCTGAGCTCAGTGTGTGAAGACTGTGGAGAGGTGGGGGGAGGGGCTGCAAAGAGAGAGGAAAAGGCTGCTCCGAACTGACATTTTTGGATACTGGAAGCAATAGATGTCACGGTATAATTTTTAAACTGGTAAGGAAGCCAAAAAATTCTCTCTTTTTCTCTTCTTTTTTCTTGCTTCAGCTATATTTAGGTGCCAATTATACCGAGAAAAGCCAAACTCGGTTTGTTCATGTCAAGCTATAGATACATGCGATCTGGCAAAGGGCAATCCCTTTGCAGTTTGGGAACTTGTCATCAGGATTAATGGGCCTGGCGCGAAGTGTAGAGCAATGTGCGGTGCTTCGAAGACCCCGGAGCTCACGTCCAGCAGGGCTGGGAAGCCTCCCAGAGCTGGGCAGGCCCTTTCCCATGATTCCAGGTCCCCTGGCAGGCTTCCCGGCCCGCTGCTCCCTCCTCCCTCCCCAACATGACAGGAAGTTCAGGAAGTGCAGCTTCCTCCCACCGGTCACCTTGCAGGTGCCCAGTCCCGCTGTGCAAGAGGCCGGCCCTAGGACCACGGAGCAGGGTGTTTCTGGGAATGACTCATAGGTCTTCTCTTTGTGCTCCGAGTCTAGGGCAGGGTGACAACCCCCAGGGCAGAGACTGCCATCTCTTCTGGGTCAGTGCTTGTACCTTCTTTTCTTGGTCCACTTGCTTGCTGGGGGCCTCGGACTGCCCTTGGTACAGCTGGTGTCTTGGAGACCAAAATAGTTGCCTGGAAGAAAGTGCAGGCTCCCTCGCGATGTGGTGCATACCCTTGTAGCTGTAAGAAGGTTGTCTCCTCCACTAGAAGGCAGAGGGCTGGGCCGCACTTAATATAACCCTGCTATGCCAGTTACACCGTGGACTGCAAGCTTCTGAAGAGATGTGTTCTGAAGAGAGTTGTTCAGCGTGGTACCCACCTCCCCTCCGTGCCTAAAGAGCTAACAATGCTCCTCCCTTTTTAGTGACTTTCCCATGACTCTCAAGCTTTGGTGCGTCTCTGAATTATTTGTGGGGTGTTTTAAAGGTAGACTTGCCCATGTTTTACAAATAGATGCCCACCATGTAGGCACGGGGTGGGTACTGTGCTGTGAACAACTGTTATTTCTAACCTGCCCAACACCCATGACCAGGCCAGGTGAAATCGCCTCATTTTCCCATCCCCCCACACTGCTTGAAGGGGTGTAAGTGAAGGTGCACTCCATGCCTCTAACCAAGGCATGGGCATGGGACCAAGCAAAGCTTCCCAGACCATCACAGGGTTAGAATCCTGGGTCCAGGAAGGCCTCTTCACACGGTGACCTCAGACCCGCCCTGTCTTGTCCTTTCCTAGGCCTGGCTCTTCTGCTTTTCTTCAATTCTGTGAGCTTTCCATGTCT